TATAGAAGTGATTTGTCATGACCTTCTGGTCCCTTATACAACATCCCTTATGTTAGTCAGAATCTTTCTGGAACCATTTTATCTGAACTGATAACGTTTAAAGTGTCAGCAAAATGTTTGCCAGCATCTATCTGAATAAATGAGCAAAAAATTAGGATGCACAACATTGTTACAATTATTAACCCAATGTATTGAACTTGGCTGCATTTGCAGAAAACATGCTGTCATCAGTGTCCACACAAACCAAGACCATGTAATTCAATTAAAGTCTGCAACACTATACAATGTAATTATGCAATTACATTTTCATTACATAATTGCATAATGTAACTGTGCAATTACATTTCATTCTGCAATGAAATTATTCCTTGCATAGCCTAACACATATTTTCCTGTACAGATTGCACTAGGTAAACACAGAAATTTTAAACAGGTAAACATACTAGGCCCCTTGAAACTCTACAGCTTTCATTTTCTATGCATATATCAAATTCTCCTTTATTCCTCTGGCCAAATTCTTTCACTTCACTTGCCTTCCAGTAGCTCCATGGGAGCTGAGCTCTATAGCACATTTTTCAGTGAATGCTCAGAAGCCACAGCACCCAACGCAACTCTTGTTAATACGGCCGACAGTCATTCCAGTGTGAAATTCTAATTATGTATTCTCACCATATTGAATGGATTTTCTTTTTTTTTTTTAAACAAGTTTTATTAATTTCAAAAACAAACAAATCATCATCAACCATTACATATTTAAACCTTTTTCCATTATAAATTTTACAAGTCAGATAAAACCTTATCTTATACAATACAATTCTATTTTAAACCATTTCTAAATGAACATAAAAAACATCTCTTGTCCTCTATTTCTTTCTGACTTGATTATCGTCATTTTCTTTCTATGCTTCTAAAAGGTTTCACCAATACTTCTCAAAAACATAAACAGACACAAACAAACATATAAAAAATCTTTTAGTAAAGTAACTTAGCCCCCGGTTCCTCTCTTTATATGGGCTTTAATTATATTCATGCTCATCTTACAGATCATTACCTATTTTATTTACCATTCTGTATCTTCTATATATACTTCTCCACACATTTCACTCTTCATAATTCTATCTTATTCAATCCATCTTAATTTAAATAATTATATTTGTATCTTTTGCCCATCCTTTATTATCACTCTATCTCATTCCTTATAATGAAAGAAAAAAAAGAATTTCTCCTGAAATCTCTAATCAGAGTATGATGCCTTTCTATCCTCTCCCTAAATATTAGATTAACATTTAAAATGACACCTAATATCCAATCTGATTCTGCTTGGTACATTCTATCTATTAATTTTTACTTTTAATAACAATAAAAACAGAGTAATAAATCGGAAATATTTAAATACATAGTATCCTCCTAAATACGTAGTTAAATAATAAATCTAAATAATAAATCTTATAACATTCTCATTGCCTTTCCCTTCAATATTTTATTACATTTTAAAAATCAATCATTATTAAACATTTCAACATTTTAACTTCTTATTAACTCTTAAACCATTCTAATTTTCTATTTCTAATGCAAATATTACAATACCGTCTTATGTACCTTGCAAAATCTTTTTTAAGAAAATTTATACTTTACCCTTTATCCCTGAAAAAGATTCCTCTTTTCCCATCCAATTTTAAAACTTTGTGGCTTTTCTCCGCCTTTCCCCTTTCTTTCTTCCCCCACCCGATCTTCCTACCCCCCTTCTTCTAACCTCTGTCTTGCTGACATCCCTTCTCTGTTGTATTCCCTTTTTCTCTTGTTTGCTATCATTATATTTATTTTGCATCATATTTTTCTCTTTCTTAAATGTTTTTTTAGATCTTAAGTCCTTCATTTTCCTCGCTTTCTTCCTTCCTTCTTCCTTAGGTAAATTTTGGGATTCATTAAAGATGGTGTCTTCGTCTTCTTCTTGTTGTAGTTCTATCTGTCGCATTGTCTGTTCATAGTTAACCAGCGCCATTTCTAAAAATAGAAAAGCTTTTTCCATACCATCTTTACAGGCTGCTTTTGTTTGCTCATATTCATCCCTCAGTTCCTCAAGGGAGAAAGCCATTATAAATCTTTTCTTTTCTTTTTTCCCTCTTTCTTCTTACTCCAACCAAAATATTCCAAAAGAAAAGTAAGACAATCCCAAAGTCCACAATCCTCAATCAATCCAAGCCAAGCCAAAATTCCCACTTTCTCTTCCAGGGGTAGTATCAGACAAAGGAAAAAAGAAAATCCAAATCTGTGTTTTGAAGCCTTATTAAAAAAAAATTTCTCTCTCCAAATCCTTAAGGCATCTCCTCCAACAAAATCCAGCCAGATAAATATATTTTTTGTCCTCTCCCTTCTGACTTATCCCATAAAGCTAGTTTTACCTGAAAAAAAACAGGTTTCTCAATATCCGTTTGTTAATTCCATCTGGAGGGAGAGTAAACTTTCCTTTCAGCACCTCAGAATTGCCGCTTACTTTCTCTTATGGAAAGAATCATCCAAAAAGCCATCACTTCCAGGAATTAAATTAAATATATCTCAGAGTCCTGGATCGACCAAGAAGACTTTCACTTTTAAAAACTTTCTCCTCTTCCTCCTGCGCATACTTGCCCAGCTGCCGGCTTCTTTGTGGCGGCCATTACGGACCGCCGCTACGCCGTCTTGGTAAAAGGAGGTTCTGCCGGCCAGGGAGGGGGTCTGCAACACCCCCAAACCCTTTTCTGGATCACCCCTACCTTCAGCTGCCCCTGCAGGGCAGCCTTGCTCCGCACCCTTTCGGATCGGAGCCCCAAAAGCGGCTAGCGCGGCAGGGATCGCGCAGCTTCGCGAATCCCTACCGCTCGCAAAGCCGACAAACCGGAAATCCATATTGAATGGATTTTCATGGAACAGATTTAGGTGACTTTCAGCTAAGACTTTTCTGGTATGATTGCACCTATTCAGCATGGCTCTTAGATAGAGCATGCAGGTGTTCCCTCACCCCACCCCCAATGAAGTACTGTTGCCTTTGGAGGGGGACAATAATATAACAACTCTTATATAAAATTATATATAGAAATTGGGATTGGGATTCAGGTTTGAAAATACAATAACATTGTTCCGGCCGCATCTCCTATTGGTAAATCCATAATTCTTCATATAATGATACATTCCAAATACTTGGCATGTAAATCAAAAGTGCCTTTGTATTTTTAAAACATACTGATTTTTATAGCCACACTTCCATAAATGTATGGATACAGTAAGACAAGTGCAATAAAAGTCTATGTCAGCTAAGAAAGTTCCCCTTGAACCATTTTACATTTCCAAGTTAGGTTATTGCTCCTCTCTTGCTTATTTTTGGAATGCAGAAGTAGTACTGACACAATGATTGACTAAAGATCAGCCTTCTTAAATATGTGAGCACTCTACAGGAGTATAAGTACATTGACAAACCATAGCAAATAAGCTGATTTAAGGACATGACACGAGTGACTGTCAGAGACTATATAGATAAGGTAAGGTAAGAAAAGAATTGCAATGAGTATGTTCATAACATTGTAATTAAAACTTTTTCCTTTACCCAGAATTTTTAGATTCCAAAAAGAACAGCAAATTTACTCTTTGCAATGGAAACTTTTATGGATGAAAATAGAGTTCATTGAACTAATGAATTAATTAGGGAAATAATAACATGTACATTGTTTTTCTTTATGTTAGCAGGATTCATTTATTTTAAAGAACCGAATTAATACAATATTGTCCATACATGTAGGAAGTATTGATAATTGCTCTATTATTACATCAACAGTTGAAGAAATGGAACCAGAGGATGAGTCCCTGTATAAATACAAAGGATTCTATTTCATAACTGGAATCTCCTCACCTGAACATTTAGATTCACTGGACAGTTTTGAAATCCGAGATGATGATACATTCATAATCACATATCCTAAATCTGGTAAGTTCAAAGATATTTTTCAAGAAAGAGTTAATCTTGTGTCTAATGCTGTTATACAGTTCCTCAGTATTTTGGTTGGTGTGACTCTGTTGGGCTATCGACAGATATTAAAATTTAGCATTTTATAAGAAGCTGGAAATGTAGGAAAAATAAAGCTGCTAAATCTCTACTTTCATTTATATTTTACTCAACTTTGCTGGATGGGTGACCTTGGCTAGTTACTCTCCCTCAGCCCAATCTACCTCACAGGGTTGTTGTGAGGAAAATAGGAGGAGGAAGAAGTATCAGGTATGTTTGCCACCTTGAGTTAGTTCTAAAACTAATAAAGGCAGGATAGAAATAAATAGCTATTCTTTTCTCATCCACCCATCAGCTTAATCTATCAAGTTTAGTAGAGTTAATTATCTTCATGCATCTCTGAAATATTTGCTATTCTCCCTGATAGGAAGGTTGGCTTTGCATAAGTTCAATGTTCTCCAAATAATAATGGGTGAATCGATTTAATTTTTCCTTAATTGCAGGAACAATATGGACTCAGAATATTGTCAGCTTGATTCTTTATGAAGGACATCGAAATGGAACTGAAAATTTTACCCTCTATGACCGGGCACCATGGCTGGAGTATAATCTTATCCATGTAGATTTATCCAATCGCCCATCACCTCGTGTCATTTGTTCCCACCTGCCCTACTATATGGTACCCAAAGGATTACAAAATAAAAGAGCAAAAGTAGGACATATTTTTTTAACTTGTTAGGTGGAGTGGGGTACTGTCTGCTTTTTTTTCCTTTTAACTCTGTATCTGAATTTTTTATTAACTAATAGGCAAGGGTACACCAATAAATATTACATTGTTCCAATATGTTTGGTAGACAATAGCAAGTTTTGAAGTGTGAGGGTAAAAAAACAGTGTTAAAATCAGAAGGTCATGCCCAGCAAAGTTTCCTTCTAGATCCAATTCATGGTGCTGGTTTTGACCTTTAAACCCCTTGATAATTAGGGAACATGTTATTTGAAGGACCTCTCCTCCCCAGTTGCAACTAGGCATCACATCGAGTCCAGCAGGAAAGTAATGTTGGGGTCCCATCAACTCGGGAGATTTGTTAGGCAGGACTTAGGAGGAAAGCCCTTTCTTCTGTGGTCTCTGCCAGATGGAAAATCATTCTCCCAACTAGAGGTTGGCCCCAATCCTGTTGGTCTGCTGGAAGGTTCTCAAACATGGTTTAGCTAATGAGCTTTGAGATCCCATGATATAATAGAGCCCATTAGATGAAGGTGTGAGAGTTACTTGGTGCCCTCTCTGTATGCTTTAGGTTTTTTTGACTAGGTGTTATCATCTTTCTCTTACAGATTATTTATGTGCTTAGAAATCCAAAGGATG